AAGACTATAAAAATTATGGTTTGTTTGAGCAATAACGATTTTATAGAGAGTATTTTATGTTTAATTTCATATATTTCATATATTTTCGAGGGGTAATGGATAAAATAGAAATGATGACATGCTAAGACAAAATGTGTCACGTGGGTCACACTAGTGAAAATTCAGGATTTTTTTATATATATTTCCTTGTAGAATTAAGAACTTAAAACTTGTATACTATTAAAATACAGATTATTAGCTAAGATTTTATGCTATTCTAATTGGTATAATATAAACAAAAAGTAGTTTAATAAAATTTGAATGTAAGACACTGAAACCTTGTGTCATGCGCAGTAAATGGTACCCGGAGCGAGAGGGTTAATATGGGTGGAATCTATTCTGAGTGGCAATGGATCGAGGGGCTGATGCAGTTAGTGTTAGACGAATCCTAGAAAATTATGATCTATTCATGTTGACCACAGACTCTGTTCCCAAAATCCAACATTTCCAGAAGCAGGTCTATTCTTTAAGAGTCTAAATACACATCACCTTGGTGTTGGTAAGCCAAAGCATGTTATTCCAATAAACATGGCAGACAAAGCATAGCTATCCCTTCATGTAACTGAGTGGTTAATTCCCTGCATGAACTGCAATATCAGGGAATGGAGGAAGAAACCAAGTTTATCCAAAGTGTTTCATAAAAAAAAAGCCTAAAAAAATGCATCTGCTATACCAGTGTTCAAATTTTGAATAGAAAAGAAACCATGCACATTAATAACTACACCCTTTTGTTATGGACTCAATCCTCAAATATCCATACTGTTAAGACAATAAAATGATATTTCAAGTATTCTGACTACAACCACCAAATACATTGCCACAGCAGTAGTCAGTCTAACAAGACACTTTTAACAATTTAAAATTCAATTCACTCCATAATGTTAATACCACCAACAATAACAAAACATGACACTGTTCATGGAACATATGCCACTTGTGATTGTGTTGACACAAGTAAAAAACAAGCACAGCATTTGCCCTTCAATGTTTAACATTGCCATTGGAGGCAATTTTTGAGTGGTTAGGCCATTGTCACAACTAAACAATGTGACACACGATGTGTGCAAAGCACACTACCTGCATGTAAAGCATGCCATTTCTAAGGGATTCTGGGGACATACCACCACAGGAAATGTTTGAAAGTTAATGCTCTGATATTGAATTTTGAGTCATTTTAACTATAAATACTGCATACACACAACATAATGAATTGAATTAAAAGAAACGAGTTTTAATACATAAGTTATAGCTATACATGCCATGAAAAAGTGGTCAGGTCATGGCCTAACTGGCCTTACTGCTTCCTATGCCCTGTTTAATGCCAATTTAGATAGACATCTGAATGTATAGCTTCTGTACTGGCAACAAGCTGCACTTATATGAGATGTAACTGTATTAATGAAAGTGTTATAGTGACCACTAATAATATACTGATCTATTATTTTAATACAAACTTTTACAAGCTGGAGAATGCAGAAGGGTGAATGTTTCTTACTTATACCAAGTTAACTTACCCATACAAGTAGTAAAAGAAAGACAGTAAGTAGAATGCCAGCTTGACCCACCCTTCTCTCTGGGCACGTGTCAACTGATCTGAATTCATTATACTTGTTGGATCATACAACCCAAACCCACTCATAACAGGTCTTGTCTTGTGCCTATAAAATAAATAAAATCGTAAGATAATAATTTCTTCATTTACTATAAGCAAGTAATGATAAACAAAATATTAACTTTATGAAAAATATTTGTATAATAAATCTCACATCAAAGTGTATTTAAAGCATATTCGAGTACAAGGTAATAAGTTTATTTTACTAGATTCATAGGGTTCCTAAACTACCTAATAAATATTTCAAATTCTGATCATACACAGTGAAGATATATCAGTAAAGGTATACTCATATATGTCTTTAGAGCTCTGATTCATTAAGCATCATATTCTACTGGAAAACAAAACTACAAAGTTTCACTACATGAATTATGCTTAAAATGTTAAATCCATAACTTCCAAGTAGTTTTCTTTTAATACTGCTGTAAAGTGCATATACTTTAGTTTATTATTCATCAGGAAAGAAAAATTCTCTAAATGTTTAAAAAATATTCTTGCTCAAGAACAAAAAAATATACATTTATAAAATGCATAATGTTATATATATATTTTGATAAAATAAAAACTATACTGATGTCATGTACTAAATGTTTAAAAACGTTTGAAATAAGACTTTTGTTTACTTGATAATTTTATAAATGCTCCATTAAAATTACTTATCAAATTAAACTGCATTTTAAACATACATGTTGGTTCCTCCACCCTGTGCAAGACTTTTGTAAATTCTTGCATTCTCCTATCAAGTCCTTGAAATTTTCCTTCACAAAAACATTTCAGGTAACCAATGCCAAGCATTTGATGTAAATTTGTTAATTTTGACAGTTATTTTAAGTTAATTTATCCTGGATAATAATCTGTATTATAAACTGATAAAAGCAGATGCTGCAGAGTGAATGACCATTTTGACAACATTTGTTTTAATTGACTCCAAATGAAGTGTCAGTGTACTTATATAACTATTCATTACTTTCATCGGCAAACACATTTTCAAAATAAGCTTAGTTCAGTTTTTCACTGTGTAAAAATTGTTAATGCCCATTTCATCAGCTGTAGCTGATTTGACATAACTCATGGTAAATACTACAATGTGTGTGAAAACAAGTTCTGAATATAGATCATAATGAAAAATTTTACATTCTGCATTGAAAAATATTAGCTGAATTACAAAATTATTTAAATTAATTATTATACCTATCAGTATATTTTGAAAAAGTAACCTAATTATTACAAATTTTGTAATCTTAATAATTTGTGAGGTAGAAATTTTGTTTTCAGTATGGGTTTGTTTATTGTTTATGCAATTTTCCTTCTATTGTTTAGTTCAGCTATAATTTAGTTGCTAGCACATCCACCTCCATATGTATATTAAACATTAAATGAGTCATATTTATATTATGAAATTTGATGAGGCTCGCCTAGCATGGTGCATGGATGCCAAATTCATGTAGATTACATAAAACAAATGCTAATTTGTTAGCTATGTGACATGTAATTTCATGATTTGGCAAGAAAATAAAAGTGACACCTGTTCTGAGAATAAGTGAAATTTGTAATATCAGTTAGACTGAGCGATATACAAGATATATTTGTTTGTTAGTTATGTGATATGTAATTTTAAGGTTTGGCAAGGAATTAAAAATGACACCTGTGCTGAAAATAAGTGAAACTTGCAAGAGCAGTTATAGACTGAGTGATATATAAGATACATTTCTTAATTATTATTTTTAATTTCATGTCATTCTTGAAAGAGAATTAATATTGTTAATTATTCTTTCATGTAATCTTATACACTAGGTTTTTTTCTTGTTCTACTTTCTCTTTGCACATTTATGTTTTTGAGATATCTAGTTATAGAAAATCACAGCCAGGCACTAGTTTATTAATTTTCAAAATTGTACAACTTGTATTTTGATTAATAAATTTGTATTTTTTTATTTTATTTTTTTATCTTATCCTAAAATGTAATGTGATTGTTTGATACATTACATTGGCATACAAACAGGGACTTATTCTCTGACAGGTTGAGGTACTTTGAGTTATGTATTTTGTTGTTATTCAGTTTCTCATGCAAGTATTCTAGCAATAAGTTAAATACCAGCGAGAAGTTGAAAAGTAGTCAAAGTTGTTACTGAGTTATGATGGTTATCAATGAAGCTAATGTGTAAAGCTTTACAACTTTGATCAAATAGGTGTAGGTGTTAACATGCTGGATAACAGACTTGCTGGCAAGAGACATGAATTCCCCATCCCAAGTACCACCTCAAACATAAGAAATGACTACTACAGGCAAACTGTCTACAATAAGATGCCACAAGGAAGTTCCACCACTTTATATTACTGCAGTAACCCTCCATTTCTGCCTATCAGGAAATTTCACTGTTATGAATTTTTTAAGAATTTGAAAGGACATTTTTACCTTTATCAAATATCTGAAAGTAGATAGGTGGAAACTACAGCCTTGTGTTTGTAAGGAAAACCACTAGAATGGTGGAAATAACTAGGATCAGAAATGGCTTCCAAAAACTTGGGAGAATTAAATGATACCCTAACTAAAATATTTCCAGCTGTGTTAGATAAAACTGAGTTGACTCCAATAGGAATTATACTTCAAATACAGGGTAAAATGCTGAAACATTTATTTAAAAAACTGTAAAAGTATGAAACCCTGAAGCTGCTGAAAGAGAAAGAATAAATTGTTTCATATCTTATTTGCATTTTCCATAGAGTACTTAGAATTACACTATGTTGTTTCTATTGTCAATGTGTTAAAATTCACTAGCAGTTCAAATATTGGTGTAAGAATAAACAAATTGCTTAAATAGAAGAGATTAATGGATGGGAAATTTGTCAAAATGTTATAATTGTAATCAAATACACCATATATCATATCTCTCAATTAAGCCAGTAAAGTTGTATAAGTAAAAATGGAACACACAGCAGTTGATAAAACAAGAAGGTGACTTTGATTTCACCTAAAGTAAAATCCTTATTAAATAATATAACCACAACTAAAACAGATTTGTCAATTTTAACACTTAAAATTAATGATGCAGAAGTAGCTGGATGAATTGTCACTAGTTTTGATTACTCTATCATAGATGAATACATATAGGAAAAAATTAAGTAAAACAACTCAAACCTTCATTTAATAACATGGAATTCAGGAAAAATGTCTCTTGCTAATGGAATGACTAATTGGCAACCTTTAGGAAATTTCATGGATGAGCTTTCTGTAGCAAATGTTATTATGGGACAATCAACTGCTGTTGTAAAAGATTTGGCAATGTCCTGTATCATTGGCTTAGATTTTATTCAACAAAAAGAAGTTAATATGAACTTTCTGACAAATATCATTGAAATAAATTTGCATTTTGCATATTGTAACTCTAAAGAAACATCAATAAAGTCTAGTGTTTACATCAGAAAGGCAATAAAAGTAAAAAATTATAATGCATTATTGAAATATAGCAATACTTCTAGTTATCAGCTGGGACTAATCAATGTTGTTCAACATAGCATTGAAACCACTAGTGAAAATCTAATATTCAGTAAACCATATTATTATTTGCCTGCTAAATTAAAAGCATTTCATGAACAAGTGAATGAAATACTTCATCAAGTTTTCAACCTCTTTTTGGGCTTCTCGAGCAGTTATTGCTAACATGGACCACTCTGAGTTTTGCTAAAAACCCATTTTCCAATTTTTTACTTTTGTTAGCAGAAAAATTTTGCAGTTTTTTCTTTATACCAAAATTTGATTCAAATAAAATTTGAGCACTGATATTTCAGTCACATCATAGTTACATTGTGATGTCAATTTACCGTATACAAAAAAACAGGTAGTTAATTTTGTTTGCTTATACACGCCATGTGCATGGTTCCCATACCTTGGCCAGAATGAAATTCTCCGACTACTCCCAGGTCATTTCCCTGAGAAAAATATGTTATTTCCTGACCATTTGATCAATGCTTGTAATGTATTATTGAACTATTTCCTACAGTAATACACGAAATTGCTAATGATTTGTGTATTGTTCAATAAATACAAGACAAATTGTATGTTAAGAGTCACAGTTTACTTAAATGCCATCTAGCAAAGTTTCAATAGAACCGATCACATCATTACAGAATTGATACTTTATCAGAATGTACACAACCAAAGCAATTAATAAATTTGTTTATGACTGTGTATACTGATCACAATTTTTAAGTTAAGTCACAAAAACATTATAACAGCATAAACAACAAAAATATTAACATTTGTGATTCCTTCATTTCAACTTTTAATACATGGAACATGTTTAGTGTTGTAAAATGGAAAATTCTTTAACAAGTATGCTCCTCATATGCCACAGTAAGTTTTATTTATTTGCAAGTTACATGTACATCAGTGTTTGGAAATTTTGTTGTGTTATTTGAACTGCTTTATTTGAAGTTACACTTACAAGTAAGCATAACCTGTCACAAAAATTGTTCAATTTTTGAAGAAATTAATCAATTCATTATTATTACCTGAACTAGACATGGCATTATTTTTACCAAATAATCTAAAAGAACCCACCTAATGACAGAACACATTATAACAATAGCAAAGTAAAAGCTATGTTTCATGACATTTTTATGAGTATCCACATAAAACACATTTATTGTTCAAAAGTTGGCTCCTGGTTTTGAAAACTGGTGACAGTATTCCGAGGTAGGTGATTATTTTCCTTCAACTTTTTATGAGCCAGAGCAGTAACTGGTTAAGAACAAGACTAATGATTTCATGCTTTGTATGGAGTACAGAAAGATAAGTCAGGTCTCCAAAAATTATAGGTATCCATTGCTTCTTATACATGTAAATGACATTCTGAATACCTTGACAGGAGCAATGTGCATCAACACTCTAGATTTATCAATTGAGTATTGGCAGATACCTATAAAGGTTGAGGATAGCCCTAAAACTGTGTTTATAACTGATAATAGACTTGTGGTTTGAAAAAATACATCTGCCATCTTTCAAAGACTCATGGATAACATCCTTAAAGGAAAAACAGTATAATC